CCAAATGCAAGGGGCAAAAGTGGTAGACATGTAAGAGGAAGGGGTAGGGGTCAGGTTCCTGTAGGGTTTGGACTGCTTATAGATGGAGAAGGAAACACTTGGTCTAATGAGAGTATATTAAGCCAATACTATTTCACATTTTATAGATTTTTCCATGATTATGTCATTAATTGCATTATTAAACTTTGTGTTTATAGCCTCCTGGGTAGGTTGGTGGTCCAAGCAATTTATCAGAGGCCTCTGTTGGTCCTTCATTTCCATAGGTTGCTGTCAAAGCTTGTTGTCCAATGAAATGATATGAAGAGTGGAATCAGTAGTGTTGTTATTGTGTAATATGTAGTGGAGAATCTGTGATGAGTACACTTGGGTGGATTGTGTTTTTAATTTGGTCATTGTTCAATAAAGTGCAGACCTTGTCAATCTGTGTTTGGAATATGGTTCAATGTTATGCATTTCATGTGTTCTTTAAAGGTTATGCACTTCATGTGTAGGAGTCAACATGTAAAGGCAGTTTAGGCCTTACTGAATCATGGGCCTACAAAAACTAAGATGAAACCAAAGAAGGCAGACTTATGCAAAATCAATCATTGGCAGTTTCATTAAGATTGCAATAGTTCAGAACCAAATACATCAACTTAACATAACAATAGTCAACAAATGCTAATAGTCCACAAATGCTAACCAACTGATCCTACTACAAATTCAAAACAGGATGCAAGACAGGTCTGCTACACACATCTAAAACTCTCGGATTTGTCCAACTAAGTTTGGTCTGGTCACTTAAAATGCAAGACAATAAAAAACCACATCCAGGAGACAACAAAAGCAATCAATGTCATTCTTTTCTCTTCATTCTCTGTGTCTTCACATTGTTGATAATGAGTAGGTGCATTCCTATATTTTGGCTTCCAACTTCTGCTTCTTAGGTTTTAGCCCAACAATCTTGTCCTGTAATGCTTTTTTGTTCATCACAAGTTGCTCCAACAACACGTCCTTATCCATTTTCTTGTCTTCTTTGCAAGGTCCATTTCCTTCACCAACCCATTGGAAATAATGACAGCTTGCCTTCTGCAAGTGAACAATAATGCAAATAAACTCATCTCAATATACCTTAATAAACTCAATTTCAGTGTATTTCAATTCTCACTCATTCTAACAACTAATTCCGCACTTATTCAAAGGAATGAAGAGTAAAATTCTAAGGAATAGTAAACAACTTACAGGCCACAGTGCACACCCATAGAATTGCCTGCCAGTATTTGGTCTGTTTTTAATGATTCTAGGTGGAGAACACAAATTGTGATAGCACTGAATTGAAAAATCACTCCTTTCATTGCTTCCACTCCATGAAGATGAGCCGACATTCGAAGCCATTGACCTGTGGTGTCCCGTTCCTGTGCAGTATCTTCGCGAATCGGAAGATATGAAGAAGACGAGTTGGCCGTTTCTTCAATTCCTTCAATTCAGAGGTCGATGACTGAGAAATAAGCTGGAATAGGGTTCAATGTATATTTAGTAAGAACACATGAGTCGCCGGTGGGGGAGTATTTCGGGAAAAGGGGGGCTAAAGTTGGGACTACGGGAAATAATGAGTACTAGGGATTATTAAAAGCGGATCGGGTATAGTTGGGATTAATAATACCAATTTTTCTTATTTCTTATGGATTTTTACTATTTTTTATTATTTTTGAAAAAAATAAAAGAAAAAAATCACTTTATAAATATTTTATTAATATTTTATTAATTTTCTACATTTTTTATTATTTATTACGAATTTATTATGAATTAAAACATTTAATTATGACTTTTGACTATCCTTTACTCATATTTAAAGGAGGGGTAAGAATGGAATGAAAAAATAGATATGTTCCCAAATAGGAGTAATATGGTCATATTTTGGAATAAAAACATAAAAAGTCCTATTTTTGATTTTTTTATAATTTTACTCCTATTTGGGGTAATTTCTAACTAAAAAGTGTTTACAACTTCTAGTTTTAAAAAAGTTGAAATAAATCTATTCAAATGAGAGTCTCTACTTAAATTAAGTATTTAAATGTTAAAAGTTGGAAGCATGTTGAGAGGTGTTTTAAAGTACTTTTTACTTTTTCTATTAAACAAAAATCATTTATTTTATCAAATACTATCCGCTTTTACTTTTTCAAAAGCATTGTTTCTCAAACACTATTAACTTTTACTAGTAAACACCTTCTCTAAAATCACTTCAAAAAATCATTTTTTTAAAGTAGAAGAAATCGAAAACACTCTCTGAATGTTTGGAACTACTTTTTAAAACCGTTTAGATACTAGAGTGTTTATGTGAAAAGGTATAAATACTTTTGGATGCTCAAATTGCTTCTAGAAATAATTTTTTAGAAGCTTCCTAAAAATGATTCTAAAATAAATCATTTTAATTTATTTAGAAGCTTCATAAATACTTATGTGAAAATGATTTTAAAAATTGCTTCTAAAAGTGTTTAGAAAATTTTTAAAAAAGATATCATTGAAAAATGATTCTGATTTTTCTTTTAGAAAAGAAGAAAACCATTTCTAAACACCCTAATATCTAAAATAGGAGTTGGAGAGTTTTAAGTAGACAAAAAAAGGATCACTTTTGTGAAGGATAAAAAAGTGACCAAGCCTACAAACCTAGACATTGATCAAGGACAACCCATCTGCATTTATACCCTCTTAAGCAAAAGACCAGAGCATACCAGCGACAGCCGGCAACGTCCAACGATGACGACGGCGAGAACTAGCAACATCGACATCAACAACCAATGATGTCAGTATGTCACTCGTCTTCTTAGTTCACCACACTTCTCTAAGCTCCTAAATATACACTTGTGCATCATGAGAGCTTAATTAGTTGAATGTTTAGTATCCTTTAATATTATAAACTTGTAGTAAACTCTAGAGGGATTGTTGATCAAATCTTGAATTTAGAAGATAGCACTTAGTAAGTTTTACCAAGTAAATGCTTTTAGTGAAACATCTATAGGATTGAGTAGCAGGAAGTGGTATTTGCTCCTCGTGAAAAATCTTTTAGTCTAAGCCGGCTTCGTGATCAAGGGTAGACTAGGTACCAAGTGTATTGACAATAGTAACCGACGACACTAAAGTCACTTGCGATTCAAAATAAATTTCAACACTAGCACTAAGTGTAGTAGTATAGCATAGTAGAATTCGTATTCACGAGGAAAATGAATAATCTTTAAATGTATGTAATGTTTCAAATAAAAGTGAACAAATGGGAGTTTTGGTTTTAAGACTTGAGAATTGTTTTACACACAAAGGTGAATGAATTATGTGATCAATGTGATAAGTATTTGATTTTACTACTTTGCACTTGTTGAAATGATTATTTAGCTATCCTCTCTTAAATGCTTAGTCGTGAATTATCTCTAATTCACCAAATATAGTTATTAACAACGAAACAGTTCAATAATAACTATTATTATTAGCCAAGTATGGAACGTCGTTATATACCGACTTGATAGTAGCATTTAATTTATTAACATCTTGATGAAATCCATTGAGATTGACAAGCTCAACACGCTCGTTTCGGTTCAATCAACATAATTAATCACTCTTTTTAGGGATGGACTAAACCGGCCCGACCCGACCCGGAACCGGCCCGGCCCGTTACTGTTTGGGCCCGAACCAGGGCCGGTTGGCCGGTTCCGGGCTTTTAGCCCGTTTGGGTGGGCCGGGCGGGCCGGGCTCGGCCCTAACTTTTGGTGAACCGGCCCGGGCGGTTCGGGCCGAGCCCGGTTCAATTTTTGTTTTCAATTTTTTTGCTTTTCTAGGTTAGGGTTGGGTGTTTTGGGACGGTTTAATTAGAAACCAAAAAAAAAATTGAACTTAACCCGGGCCCGGCCCGGCCCGGTTAGGCCCAGACCCGATATCAACCCGGGCCGGTTCCGGGCCCAACATTTTGCAAAAAAAGCCCGCCCGGGTCCATCCCTAACTCTTTTGATGAAATCCATTGAGATTTATTATTATTATTAGGGAAAAGGGGCAAGTAAGCCCTCGAACTAACCGAAAAAGTGCAAATCACCCCTTCTATAAGAGTTTCTGTCCGTCCGTCGCCATTTGGGACGGTTACCGTTGGAATTTTTTGATGAGTTTTTTGATCATCTTTTTCATTAAGTCTAGTTTACTCATACCAAATTTCAGGTAAAATTGAAATCGGGAAGGTAGTCAAATAAATGTTTGAAGATAATTGCGCAGTTAAACAGCGCAGTACATTTCAGAAAATCATTTGACTACCTTCCCGATTGAATTTTTAACTGGAATTTGGTATGGATAAACTAAACTTAATGAAGAAGATGCTCAAAAAAATTCATCGAAATTTCACCAGGAACCTACCCAAATGACAACGGCTGGACATAGCCTCCTATAAAAGTAAGCATGGACCAAACGGGGCCGAACCGGCCCAGAACCGGACCGATCCGCTACTGTGCAAGCCCGAACCGGACCAGGCCCAGATGGCCGATTCCAGGCTTTAGCCCAGTTTGGCGGTTCTAACGAGCTGGTTCCGGGCCATGATTTTCATGAACCGACCCGAGCGGCTCGGGGAGCCTGGTTCAATTTTTTTTTGTTTTTTTCAATTTTTTTTCTTTTCCTTGGGTAGTGTTGGGTGTTTTGGGGGGGGGGGGGGGTTGGGGGTGAGGGTGAGGGTGAGGGAGGGGGGTCGAGGGTTAATTAGAAAGCCAAAAAAATATTACATAGAACCGGGCCCGGCTCGGCCTGGTTTGGCCCGGACCCGGTATCAACCCGGGCCGGTTTCAGGCCCAACATTCCGGAAAAAAAACTACCCGGGTAGAAGCAAAAGTTGGAGTGTTTGGGTGAAAGTGCGTGCATAAGTGATTCTGGTGCTCTAATTTACTCTTAGAATCAGTTTTTTTAGAAGCTGGGGGTGACTAGCTTCTGAAAACTGATTCTGATTCTGCTTCTGCTTTAAAAAAGAAACAGAAGCTGAATCAGTTCCAAACACCCCCTAACAACAACAAGTTTTAACAAGAAATCCCAAGTGGCATCACAAGTCTCACAGAGATCAATACAAGCGTCGAGCAGAATTACTGAAATCCACTCATTCGGATCCCCAGTGTTACAAATATGGAAGTGACACAAGTATACAACCTTGAAAATATGTGCAAAACTATGCTCGGGTCACCACACACCATGCCAATGAGGCCTAACCGGATTGATTCAGGCCGTACTTCAAGCGTAGTGCACAAAAGATCTTGGCATCCACTGAAGTTCCCCTGCTAAATACTTCATCCCACATCTTCAAAAGTTCTGTCATTAATGGTGATGAGAAAAAAGACACGGTTACGCTTTCACAATACCATACCGCAAAATGCAAATTACTAACTCAAGTGTGCATTAGTGGAATCGATTATTTTCTTTATTGAGCAGAATTTACTTTTGGCTTGAATAAAGATAAAAGACACAATCACCATTTCCTTTAATTTATTTCTAAAATCTTGAATTTAGCCATTTCAGCCACAAAACCATCAAATTCAATGCATTCACTCTTTTTAACCAAATTTAACTCTACATAAACAATGGGCACAACATTAAATGGTATGCAGTACAACTTCAACATGTTCACAAAAGACATACCAGCTTTATCCGAAGATGATAGACACATGATGATCATGTCAAATCTTGGGACTTTTGGCAGATTTTCTAAGTACCCAAGAGCCAAATTTTCATCTTTCCTGCTCATCAAAGTAAAGGCACATAGGCACTAAATATGTGGCAATGGTGGTTGTATAGCCCAAAATGGGGAAATTGCACATCTACTTCACTGCTTGCCTGAAAAATGTTGCAATACACCGGATAATGTCCACAAGTATAGGGGCAGACAATGCATTCTTAAAAATATGTGGCAATGCTGTGGGTGACGTGACCTGAACAGATTATAAAATAAAAGGTGAATGATATAAAGCCAAAAAACAATGCAGCCAAAATGGTAAAACTGTAGTGTCAAAAGTGATCGACTTGAAGAGGCAGAGAGTCTGAAAGAGACCTTCAGCAATTGAGCTTGTAGGCTATGATCACCCACGAGCCCACGCCAAGAAACCTCAAACTGATAGGCTGAATTTGGTGGTGCTATGTTCTTTGCAGCTTCAGCTTTGGCATAATTAGCTGCTCGGGCAGCAAGCTCTTGCACAGACTCCTTCAGCTCCTGCTTACCGCCTTTTCGGTTTCTCTGCAAAAATTACACGATGGTTAGGGTCAGATAACTAAATTCCAATTATCTTATTTCTTAATGTGCTTTAGCTATTTTGGTTTAAAAGAAAAGGGGGAAGGAAGAGTTAGGGTGATCTTACGTTCAATGGAGAGGTGAGGATGAATATTATTATGCAAAAAAATACAAAAATAGTATTCGATACATTTTTGTTATAATTAATATTTCTAATCTATATGTATAACAATACTAATTTAGAACAATTTTGATAAAAAGGTGAAAAAAAATAAAAAGAACCCCCCCCCCCGACTCCAAGAGACGAGGGTGATTGCGTCTAAGAATAAGAACCTGTACAAGAATAATATTTTTATGAGTTCAAGTGAGTGATAAGTTTAAATTAGCGACAAACACACGCCTTTTCTTCCCAAAATACAAGTAGTCAGGGTTCTACCAAAAACTATGACTCCCTCCGTCCTATTAGAAGGTTCCCGTCCACTATTCTCATGGTCAACTGAAATCATTTTTAATCTTTTACTTTATAAATTAAATTTTTACCAAATTTACATTTTTTTATCAGGCTTTGCAGCGGTTTTAATGTAGTTTCTGAATATGTTAATTTTATTTACTAAAAATAATCAGAGTGTGAACAAGGATTAAGTTGTTTTATTGTCAGTTAAGCATCGTAAACCGTTCACGGGAACCTTCTAGCGGGATGGAGGGAGTACATTTTTAATATTAATAATCATCATAATCAATCTACAATGCATACATTTTATTCAGAAATATTATCATGGTGCAGTCTCCCACTCTCTCCCTTATAGTCTTAAAAGCCCGGGGTTCAAACCCACCTCTTTGCAAAAGTTAAGGGAAAGGTGGCATAGATTATATGCTCCTCCCTAGAACCCATTGATTGTGTGGGAGGCTAGGAGCTTCGACAATGGGTATGTCCTAACACTGGTGCACATGGGTGCATAACTGTTGCAAAATTTTTAACAATTATGATAGCTCCAATCTTTAACAGCCATAGTTATGGTGTGATCTCTTCATAGTTGTCATGGCAAATGACGACATCCATGGCGCACAAGCCATTTCCCATGGCGATGGCGCAAATATGGCGTCACCACGTGACAAAAAAAACTTCAAAACGAATGATAAACACTATAATTCATCAACCCAACCATCAAAACATGATAAAAAAGTTGAATGACAACATTCTAACCAAAACAGGTGAAGTTAAAATAGTTTAAAGTACTTCCAAGTTAATCATCACAAGTTGAAGTAAAAACTGCAACTCTGCAAGTATTTAAAATATGAATTTAAAGTTTAAAGGACTTTAAACTGTTAATATCTCAAATTCTCAATTTATAATCAAACTGATAGTAAAGGACTTTGAACTAATAGTATTTAAAATCAAACTGATACTTCTTAATCAGAAAGGCTTTCAATTTCAATTTATAACTGATCGTTTATGCTTTATAACTGTATAGTTTATACTTTATAACTTCATAATCAAACTGATATACAATAGTATTACTTTATAGTATAAACTATAAAGTTAGCTGAAGTAAAAACTATTAAGTAAAAACTTTTTAATCAAACTGATAGTTTATACTTTATAACTGTATAAACTGTAAAGTTAGCTGAAGTAAAAACTATAAAGTAAAAACTACTTAATCAAACTGATAGTTTATACTTTATAACTGTATAAACTATAAAGCTATCTGAAGTAAAAACTATAAAGTAAAAACTTCATTTTAACATAAACTATAAAGTAAAAACTTCATTTTAAATTATCTGAACATACTATTATTATAAAGTAGTTAGCTGAAGTATAACTTTTATATACTGTTATTATAAAGTAGTTATAAGTGCTAACATACAGTTTAAGAGTGCTAAGAAAATTGTTTGTAAACTGAAGTTATAAGAGTACTTTATAACTGTACTCAGGCTTTGTGTCCGCAGGCTTTGTGTGTTTAACTTCTACTGTCCGCAGGCTTTGTGTGTTTATTTACTTTTGTTAGGTTGGTATTACTATAATGGGCTAAAATATTAAGTTTTATTTAGAGTTTTATTAAGTTAGCGTTAAGCAGGCCCAACAGCCCCAAAATCCCAGACCAAATGTCCGCTAATGTGTAAAAAAAGCCTACGCATTGCCATGGCGATGGCGAGATTTTGGCGATGGCGAGACAATGGCGCCGCCATGTGTATACCCAGCGCCATGGCCTATTTTATGGCGCGGAGACCATTTCCGCGCCTCATGGCGCAAGCGCCATGGCGCGCCATTGACAAGCTTGGATCTCTTCTAATATTCAATTTAACAGACTAACACTAGACATAAGGATGCAGAAATGTGTGAATTGCAGAATACACTAAGACATTTTTATCTAAACTGTAAAAGCAACAGCCAAAGTTTCCATTTTAGCAACAGAAGATCTGATATGGGCATGTACAACACTCCATTCGCCCCATCTTGTTCTTCATACTTTCCTATTGTAGGTTTGAAGAATTAATCTTCCATGTATTATTGAGTCATCCGGCAATGATATATATACAAGTTTACAGATAAACTAAAGTTGTTACAGATCCTAAATATTAGGATCTATCTATTCTTATCTACTCTGCGAGCTAATCTAAGAATTAGAGACCTAAATCAACTCTAATTCCTATCTATACAGTTCCGGATGTACAAATAATAAAATAACATGTATATGCTACATTTTTCTACACTCTCCCTCAAGTTGGTAAGTATATATCATACATTCCCAACTTGCTTATAAGAAATTCAAACACTGGTTTAAACAGCCCCTTTGTAAAGATATCAGCTGTTTGTTCTTTAGTAGATATGAATGGTGTGCACACAATTCCAGCTTCAATCTTCTCTTTGATAAAATGTCTGTCCACCTCAATGTGTTTAGTACGATCATGTAGCACAGGATTGTGAGCAATATTAATGGCTGCTTTATTGTCACAATATAACTTCATAGGTAGGTCCATTTGCATATTCAACTCTGGCATCATTCTCTTGATCCAAAGTAGTTCACAGATTCCATTAGCCATAGATCTAAATTCAGATTCTGCACTACTTCTGGCAACAACATTCTGCTTCTTACTCCTCCAAGTCACCAGATTCCCCCATACATAAGTACAATACCCAGATGTAGACCTTCTATCAGTTATTGAACCAGCATAATCTGCATCTCTAAAGGCTTCTACACTTCTATTGTCACTTCTTTTAAAAAATAATCCTTTCCCTGGACAGCTTTTCAAATATCTTAGGATCCTGTAGGTAGCATCTAGATGTTCCTGGAATGGATTATGCATGAACTGACTAACCATACTGACTGCAAAGGCAATATCTGGCCTTGTATGTGCCAGATAAATCAACCTTCCCACCAATCTTTGATATTGGTGAATATTAACTGGTACTCCTTCCTTGACATTTCCTAACTTTTGATTAGGGTCAATTGGAGTATCCTAAGTAGCACGGAAACGGGAAACGGGAAACGGGAAACGGGAAACGTCGGAAACGCCATTTACCAAAAATACAGGACACGAAACGCGGGGGAAACGCGCAAATATTAAAAATATAGGGGTTACTTTATAAATATTATATATATATATATTTGTGAATTTTTTTATATGTGTGTGTTTATATATATGTATATTGACACACATATATGTCAAACATGCCACACGAGATTATGTCACCAATCACCATAAGGAAGTCTAAAATTATTGAAATCTTAGTCACCAAAAGTATTGAAATCTTAGTCCATAACAAAACATTAAACACAACATCCATAAAAACAAATTAAATTGTAGTGGAGGCATCTTCCACGGGATCAACATCTTCATTAAAAAAGACACGTTCAAGATCAGGTTCATCCAGTGATAGATTTGCAAACTCAAGAACACCAACATCTTCCAAGCTTGCAAATTGATCCCCACCAACATCCCACATCTTAGTGTTCTCATCTTCATACTGGGCAGAATTTCTTGAAAGTAAGCGTAGATTATTGTGAATGAACACCAAATCTTCTGCACGCTTCGGATTTAATTTGTTCCGTCTTAATGAATGGATAAAAGAATAAGTACTCCAATTTCGTTCACAACAGGATGAAGAGCTAGGTTGTCCAAGCACTTTAAATGCCAATTTTTGGAGTAATTGTGCACCTGATCCATACACTGCCCACCACTTTCTAGGATCCGTATCACACATAGCAGCAATACAATCTGGGTCGCTAAACGGACCAATCTTCAAAGAGAATTAGCATATTCATCAATAGCCTTAACACGCTATTCAGAAGGAAAAATTCGCCTAAAACACTTATTTCTCTCTAATGAAAGTTCATTATCCATATGTGGAGGTGATCTCCCAACTTCTTCTTGGATCCATTGATCGCTATAATACCTACAATTTATAAAACAAGTACATAATAATATATAATTATAGGACTTAAATAAATAACTTCTAGGTGAATTAAATTAAAACATAAATAAATACCGCGGATTTAAGGAATGAGCTGAGCAATGAAGTGGGGTGTTGTTCTTCGTCCAACGTTCAACTAGAATGCGATGAACAACATAGTAAAAGGGAGAATATTCAGCATATGTTTTTCCTTCATGCGCAAAGATAGTCATTCTCACCTTTTCAATCATTGAGTCCCACATCTCGTAAACCAAATGGAGGCATGGTTTGTCAGTATCACAAATTCTAATCATATCATACATAGGTCCAGTGAACTGCAATATGTAATCAACCTTCTCCCACCAACCTTCATCTAAAATCTTTTCTCGCACAAATTTAGCCTTTCCTTGATCATCATCTCGATATTCTGCCCATTCATCACTCAAAACCATTGCTTCTAAAGCACGTCTCAAAAGTTTAAACCTCTTAAGCATGACAATAATAGAAGCAAAACGAGTATCAACTACTGAAAGCAACTTCAAAGTGCTAAATCGGCAGAACATAGAAAGCCTCATGGAATGGTTCATTATGAAATTTTTGATGTGCACCGCAT